CCTGCTAGCTGCTGGTGCCCCAGGGGATACATCATGTGCAACGAAGAGGACGTGCGCAATGTGCAGTCCAAGTTGCAGCAGATTAAGGACGTAAACATGCGCAACCAAGTCACCCCCTCGTGGATGAAGCGTCTCTGTGATAATTCGGAACAGATCGGATTCAAAAGCATGTCAGTCATTATAGATTACGAGTTGGCAGTTCTATGCAATGATGAAAATGAGAAAAGCAATGCTGACTTCAAAATAATTGGAGCTTCTGGTTTCATTTCGAACGAAGAGATCATTCAGCAGACGAAGAGGGATACCACTTATGTCCCTCGGAAATGCACCGTTAATAACTTTTACCTGTGTCGAAAGGTGGAAGACGATAACGTGAGCTGCCAGTACAGCCCCTGGTCCCCGTGGGGCCCCTGCGTGGACAGCAAACAGAGAAGAACGAGGAAGGTGATGCGTTCGAATCAGAACAATGGAGACTTTTGCCTGTGGAATGGCAAGCGCATTCCGAGGAGCATAATGGAGGAGACGCGCCCCTGCAGTGGTCCATCGGATGCGGCCGCTCCGAAGTAGCATAGCCGACGCGAGTGGCCAATTGGAACAGCCCAGTAAGAGACGTTACTGGCAAGATACCTGCCGAGGATGAACTGTCCCTCCACCTATCACCACGGATCTTCCTTCCCCCGTGTTCGTATTTTTCTTTTTTTTTTTTTGTAATTTAAGAAAATATACATGTCCATCTTTTTAAACTTTGATATATTTCTCTGCAGTACTTTTTCGTAATTTTTTTTTTTTTTTTCACCATTTGGGTGGCAACCCACTGCAGAGTCTCTCCCCCAAGGGGCTACATCACCAGGGGTGCTCTGCCAAAATTGTGAGGAGAGAATCTACTTATTTGAAATGGATCGAGTCTCGCATTACGTTTGCTACTTTCCCCCAATCTGACCTGGGACGACCAGAGGTCACATCGGTCCAGAAGTCACATCGGCCAAGACGTCACATCCGCCCACACGTCCAGCCAAAAGCTCAGTCCGTCCGGCATGGAACCAAATGTTATGATAGCCATGTCGTTAAAAGCGGACACGTGTTCAGCGAAAAAGGGGAACTTCCCCTCCCGCGCATACTTGTGGACGTAAAAAAGGAAGTGCTCCATTTTGTAAAACTGCACTAATCGATTAAGACTGCTTTGAGTGGCACTTTTCGGGAGTTTTTTTCCACTTCTTAACATACTAATGGCGTAGGGAGGTATTCCAAAAGGCCTGTACATGTGGGCACGCTCTCTGTAGTAATCAAATGAGTTCCCCAGAAAAATGGTCTTCTCCAGGGTCAGCAAAAAGTGGACGTTAGCATAACTGAGTTTTTCATTCCTATATATATTGTGCATGACTTGGCTATACAGACTGACATCGCAGTGGGGCATGAACACCAGCGTCCGTTCTTGCGCACTTGGTTTTGCAATGGTGTGGCTCGTCTTATCGTCTTTCTTCCCCTCTGGAGATGTAGCACTGGTTAGCTCGATGGGTGGTTTGACTATGGGTGGTTCCACTATGAGTCCCTCCACTTCTGGTGCCTCCTCCTCACAACAGGACAACACCTCTATGTCGAAGTGGCCACAAACAAGCCGGTCCACTTCCCCAATTTTAGGGTCATAAATGTAAACCTTCTCTACATTGTAGATCCTCCTAAGGAGTAGCACAAATCCCAGCTGGTACAGACAAGCCTTTTTGTTGTTCCAATTTGGGTCCGCTAAAGAACCGAGGCCCAGGCAGATGGCGCATTTTATGTGCACATTCGCCTTATCCACTGCTTCCACAAATTGTTCGTGGAAGTTTTCAAAGAAGTCACTTTTTTGTAAGCAGGTCATGACCTTTTTTACTTCGCTGAATGTCTTTTCCGCTTGCTTCTCTTGGTCTATGGGTGGGTGCTCTGTGAAGGGCCCATCGCTGCCATTGCTCCGATTGGTACCATCGATGCCATAGCTGCTGTGCCCGCTGCGACGCCCCGCATGATTGCTCACCCTTTCGCACTTCTTCCTCCTGCTCCCTCGCCTCCTTTCAACATACACCCAGTCTTCCATTTGGGGAAAATTAGACGGAGCCGTATTGACCTGCTCTGCGTATTGCTCATCCGCGTATTGCTCATCTGCGTATTGCTCATCTGCGTATTGCTCATCCCCGTATTGCTCATCTGCGTATTGCTCATCTGCGTATTGCTCATCTGCGTATTGCTCATCTGCGTATTTCTCATCTGCGTATTGCTCCTCTTCGTATCGCTCATCTCCATTCACGTCCTTCACATAGACCGACTGTGCTTTGGCTTCTGTCCCCTTTCATCTTTTACAGAGAAATTGGCGAACCGCTATCTGATTGTTTAGGCTGATAGGGCTGTAAAAAAGGTGATAGCCTTTTTATTTCCTTATTTTTTATTTTATTTGATTCTTTTAAGCCAAAACGATTCCCCCCCCCCCCTTACAGTGTTCCCTTGAAAATATGCCCACTGGTTCGTCAAACACTCAGTTATGCACGAATCTGTTCCTGTGACGGTTTCTCTTCAAGCCTTTTTTTTTTTCCTTTACTTATGAGGAGAAGGTTTAACAGCGCAGGGTTATCTTCGCCCCGTAAATGGAGGAACCTCTCTAAACCGTTTCGGCCACAGAGGCTCCAATTGGGGCAGTCAGCAAGTGGCGCAATTTTAGTGCGCCTTTATGCGGAGGGATGGAATGTGACTCTGTCAGGGACCGTGACCATAGGGACCATAGCGACGATGGCAGCCATGGTAACCATGCCAACCGTAGGGCAACGTCTCGGTCAACGCCTTTAAGTTTGCTCACCGGTCGATTTTCACTGTGCGGGGGAACACCACTCCAAGTGCGTCCCCATTAAAGGAACACCTTATGCGCGTCAGTTGTGAGGGACCTTTTCCCCTTGGGTACAAACAGGGGAGGCATAATTCAGTTCTGCGCCGCTTGACCCGACAAAGGGAAGTTGACCCGCAAGAGGGGTGCCTTCATGACGTGGTGAGTAACACTCTACTGTGCGCAGTATACCTTCCATGTTGCTCCCCTACCGTGTAGGCTAAATAATCGGCACAATTTAAACTCGTTATGGTGTGTTTTTTTTTCTTTCTTTTCTTTGCGACGCCAATAAGGAGCCTCACACGCTTAAGTGCAGGAAAGAAAACTGAATGATATGAAGGAAACCCGACTAGCCGACACAACGGAAACGAAAGGGGGGAAAATAAACTGAGACCAAATTGTGCATGTGTCGACGTGGAGATAAAGAGGAGCATGTTCTGCCATCTCATCACGTTTTTTTTCCTTCTCTGTCGTTTCCTCCATGTGTGCAAAACTGTCTGGCATTTCAGGGGAAAAATAAAAATATGTCACCCCCCTCACGTGAAGGGCAAAAAAAGGAAAAGGAAGGGAGGTGGGTAGTCCTCACCTTGCACGTTTGAACCAACCCCTTCTGGGAGGATTCTTCTGGGCCTTGCGAAAGGGTGGAAAAGTAACCCCCAAAGTGGAACAAAAGTAGCCGCCAGGGTGGGAACAAAAATGGGAACAAATGATAAACCATATAGTGGGTTCCAATGTTGACAGGACTCCTAACGCACAGAATGGAGGAGCGGCTATCCCGAATGGTGAACTCTAAACTGCCAATTCGCCAATTCCAAAGCGAAAATGAAGGAGGTCCTTCTTCCTAAATTTTCGCTAGCTGCACCTACCACACATGTAGCAATATGACCCCCCATTAAGGTTTATCTTGATCACTTTCCGATGTTTCCATTTTGCTTTCCCCCCCCTTGGCCATTTTATCGCGTTCCACGGGGTACAGGAACAACGTACCCGTATGCGTCCGTAACGCGCCCGTACTTCCCCGTGGAATTTTTTCCCACCGGGGTTCCTAAATTTGAGCAAGTCCCCTTCGATACGATCGAGCTGCATTTCGCTTGCAAAGCAATGTGCACATCTGTGGGGGCGCTAAACCGGAGGCTCCCTTTTCCTCGCGTCTGACTCTACGTGATGATGCTATGTGGTGTGATCCTGCGTGATACTCATACGTGCCGCTTCTACCCTCCGATTGTGCCTTTTAATTCCACGCTGCGCCCACGGACTGAACGATCCCCCCACGTAAGGCCAATCGAAGGGACTCTCCCCCGCCTTTTGGCCTCTCCGATCGAGGTGCAGGCATAGGCAAAACGGGGGAAGGCCATGGAAGCCACTTCCAAAAAAAGAAAACGTTATAGAAAGGCCATTCTCATGAGTGTCATTTTCTTATGAAGAAAGAAAAGCCCATCCCTGACGTTACCTTTCCTGCTGACATTTCCATCACCGGAACAGTTAGGAGAGTGGAAGGGGCAACCACTCAGATGAAGGTTCTTACTTCACTTGGGGTGTTAGAAGAGGAGCCCAAATGAGGATACCACAAAGGGTAGCAACGGGTGAACAGAGTACCACCCCCTCGCAGCTTTTTCCCCTGAGTAGTGGCCCAATCTCCCCAAATGAATGACCAGAGCGAAAGAGGCGGGGGGAAATCCCGTCGATCTGATGAAACGATGCGAAATTCCAGCGCAGGTAAATGAGCAGTCGTTGGCGGAGACATATCCCCATGAGGTGATACACCAAAGGGTGCACCCAACGGAGAAGTGAATAAACACACACAAACAGAAAGAGGGACAGAAAGAGAAAGAGGGACAGAAAGAGAAAGAGGGACAGAAAGAGAAAAAGAAAGAGAAACAGAGACAGAGGCGGAAATACAAAAAGAAATGCCCCCATCGTCGGTGCATCCTTTCACTTATAGGCCATCCACCTAGTCTTAGGGACGACTCCGACGTCGCTAACCCCCCGAGTAGTTTCATCCCAAATTTGAGTGACTACGAAGATGTGGAAATGACCCCTCTGCAGAAGGAGGAGTCGCCAGACAAGTCCTCCAAAAGAGGCGTTACAGATCGGAATGAAATGTCCCCCTTCGACATGTTAGGTTACATTAGCAAGAATACCTCCCATCGAAACGCTGAAGTAGCACAGAGGCAAAATGTCCAGTTTCTTCACGTGGACGAGTCAGTTCGACACCTTCCCGATAATGCATTTAACTTTGCCTGCGGAACTGCCACCCCTATGACTGTCTCCACAGCGACGCCCATGTATGGATACTCTCCTGATCATTTGCACATCCTGGAGAGTGATGTTTCTCCTATGTTTGATAATCTCCTCATCGATGACGCGCGTGCTGCTGAGGGGAATTACTTCCAACTGGGGTCTCCCACTGCGCGTACCCCTCGGCCGTGTTTCGAGGTGGCAGCCAAGGTAGAGAGGCCCCACCCAGACGCAGACAACGTGCAAGAGGATAGCGGAAGAACAGGAAGTAAAATCCCCCCGAGGAAGAGACCAAAACGAAGATCAAAACTAGAAGGACGAAGAACCCTGTTCAGTAGCTTCTCCAAAACGATGAGTCTCCTGTGCGACGAAGTCCTCTCGAAGTCATTTCAAACGATGATATCTTACGTCATCACCACCTCATTTTTTATTTGTCTGAATCTGTATGTGTCCAATTCGTGTACCTATGAAGAGATAGGAGGGTTCGGAGTAGCGGTGTCAGTGATTACGCTACTCAATGCAGTAGTGGATGGAGTGGGTAGCAGCTTGGATTACTTTTGTAGCTTTTCCATCGGCATGGCCAACTCAGATCTATCCTTACTGTATTTAAACATAGCATATTACACCTTTTATTTTTTCTTCGCCAAAGTGTTGGTCGTCTTTTTCTTAGCCAAGATTCTGTTTCTCCTTTTTTTAAGTTACCTCTACGCGGATGTTGGTGGCGTCGTTGAAAGCGGCGTCGGTATCGGAGTCGATATTGCGCGTACACCTTGTCAGCACGTGCAGATGGTCCAAGTGTTCTGCTCGTCGCTGCAAATATTGCTTATTTCGTTTTTCCCTCAATTTGTTTATGAGTCCACTCGACGCTATTTGATTCTCCATAATTACATTTATCCCAGCTTGTTCTCTTCTTTTGTCTCTTTCATTTTGTTGAATTTTTTTAGCTACGTCTTTGTATTTTCTTTAGACATGAAATATGTCGGGGCGTGTCTGTCGCTGCTGCTCACCAATGTTTTTAACTTCTTCTGCGTCGTGTACTTTTTGAGGATCCACTTGGCTAGATGTGTCTCTTCGCCGAGAGGGGCCCACCAGTTGGCATCGTGCGCGGAGGAGGTTTTACTCAGCGGTGACCACTACGTCGAGGTGGGGGAAGCGGACCAAGAGGATGAGGAAGAGGATAGGGAAGAGGATACCGATGAGGAGACCAATGAGACGAGCGGGGCCGAATGTGAAGACGACACAGACAGCGGGGCACTCAACGGATCACAGAACGGAGCATGCGTCGATACACACCGCGAGTCACACAGCGGGACTTGTGAAGACCCGCACCACCCCCTTCACGGCGCCGACCGAAGAATACACAACCTCACCTTCCTCTTTTTCCACAAACCATCAGACGACGACCGAAAGAGGGGATTCATAAAAACGACGCGCACAAACATAAAAAATATATTCTTCGAAATCTTCTCCTTCGAGTTTCAGCTCTTCGAGGCCACCTACCTCAGTCCAACCTCCGTGGCAACCTTCGTTCAAATTAATAACATTCTCAACTTGGTGTATTACGTGTCCACTTCGTATGGCATCGTTCTTAGCAAACTGATCGGGATTTATGCCTCCTCGCGCGGGGGGAAGGAAACACAAATGCGGATCAGCCAGAGCAGAGGGAGCACCCAAAGCAGACCGAGCCGAATGGACAGGAAAAACAAAGGGAGCCCAATGGATAGGAAAACCAAACCACATGGAACACCTCACAGCTGTGGAATGGAGCCCCTGCTCAGCGATCCCAATGAGTGGGGGCACCATGACGCACAAAGGAAGAAAGACGAACACGGAAAAGGAACCCCTCCAATGGTTCCTCATTACCCAGAAAAGCACATCCTGTGTGAATTAAAACCTCGCAGAAAAAGAAGCAGAAACAGACGCAGAAACAGACGCAGAAACAGAATCGTAATAACCCTACTCGACATAGTGCTTGCCTTTCTCCTCATGTGGACATTCCTCTCCCTTCTCCTGCTCGCAGTTTACCTCTATCGAGATCAGATCATACCCTTCGTTTTCACCGATGTGAACATACAGAACAAATTAAAAGGGATCATTTTTGTCCTCTCTCTGGAGCTTTTTTTAGAAGTCTTAGCCTCTTTACTCAATAGCATTATAAAGGGTCTCAGCCTACAGGAGGAGATATCTACCTTCACCCTTTTAAATTTCCTCTTCTTCATGCAACCCCTGGGGCTTCTCTTGACGTTTATCCTTCAGCTAGACATTTATGGCTTTGTGTATTCTAATCTCGTCAGCATGGCCGTGCAGGTCGCTTACTTGGTTGTCTACCTCGCTCTTCGCGCGCGTCGGAAGCTAAGTGGGTAGTCCCTCCCCACACCCCTCTATATGCCATTTTTCGTTATTATTTTTTTACCATTTGTTTACGTTCGGCTTTTTCGAAACTGTGAACTTACCCCGCGGGAGCTCTAACTTTTCTTTTCGTTCATCCCAGTCAGCGGCGTTCCTCCTCCTTTTTCTGTCCAAAGAGGGGGAGACAACAGCCGAGAGGGATAGCACACAAAATGGGGCATCTCCACGGAAGCCCCCGTGGCAAGTTCCATATGGAGACTGTGCATTTTGGTGGAATAACCTGCGATCGTTTGGTTAATCCTTTTTTCTTTTCCTTTTCGCCTCCCACGAACAGCAAAAGGTGTCCGCTTTGTGCAGTCCGCTCGGGTGACTTAACGCCGTTTGGCGCTGCTCCACGTGTAAACTGCAGTCGCGTCAACACTTAGCGGCTTGCGGCTGGAGGAGCCCACCAACGCATACGCCGGTACACCTAGCGCCCGCGCAACGGACAGCAAAAGAAAAAAAAGGGCGAATACTTGGTGCAAAAAGGAGAAGCAAGGCGAAAGAAAAGAAAAAAAAAAAACAAATGAGAAAATCTACCCTGCTTATAACATGCTAGGTAGGCCACTTAGTTAATCTTTTTTTTTTCCTTTTTTCGTTTTTTCTCCTTCTTTTCGTTTTTCTTCCATTTTTCTCCTTTTTTACCTTTTTTCCCCTCTCTTTACCACACTACCCCCCAAACGGCCGAAGGACGCACCGCTCCTCTGATGACACTAAAGCGAAGCGTGATGGACCCTTCCCCCCCACCTAAATGTGTATATTATATAGGTGTACATAACGTTAGGGAGAAAAAGCGAACCCCCCTCTTGCAAAAATAAAGAAGGAAAAAAAAAGAAGAAAAAGAAAAAATAACGACATTAACTCTCCACAAAGGAATGAGTACCTGTGATAGTCTGGGAAGTAGCAGCGCCAAAGTAGAAGGCGCGGGGGATGAGGGGACCACGCAGAAGGGGGACTACCCCGTGGAAGAGGAAAACCAGGGGGAAGCCAACCCAGGGGAAATAAAATCAACCCATCTGAATGAACACCCGAAGGAGGAAGAAGAAGCCGAGCCTCAAGCACTCACCCTGGACGACGATATAAACATCAGCCTAATTATAGAGCGCCTATCAAGGGAAGAACCAGAGGCGTTGGCAAAAATATACAACCTGATCAGAAACAACAACTGCCTTCATTTCTACCCCCTCCTGACTCCATATCATAATATAAAAAAAATCGTAGACCTTCTAATTGAGGAGAACTACGAACACGAAAACACATGGTGTGTTCACTGTGATGGTTCATTCATCAGCCAACTTCTCTACGAGGGCTTCATCCCCGTGGCGACCAAACAGAAGGTATATAAAGTGGAAAACAATCAAATGAAAATGGTCAGGGAATGCCTATTAATCCCGAAGATACACTTCATCCGATCTTGTATGCACCCCAGTGAAATACACATATCGAAAAAGGTAAAAAAGAAATGTAAAGGTTACGACATCACCGTGGACAGAGATTTCGATGGAGTCCTCCAGGGTATTGTGGAGAAACATGGGCAGAATTGGGTCTACCCATTTGTGCAAAAGGAATTCAAGAGGATTTTTGAAAAAGAAGTTACCTACAAGAATGTATGTATGCATTCCGTCGAGTTATGGTGTGATGATATTTTAGTTGCAGGAGAGATTGGGTGCACGGTGGGTTCTATTTACACGAGCCTTACAGGTTTCCAGAGGAAGAATTCGGCGGGGACCATTCAGCTTTGTGCCCTTGCGAAGCTACTACAGGAGCAGAAGTTTGATCTGTGGGATCTGGGTATGCTTCTCCCCTATAAGAAAACCATCGGGTCTAAGGAAATCGCAATGAAGGATTTCTTTAAGATGCACCGTGAGTTCAGACACCGGAGCGCGGACTTTCGCGTCCCCTTCCGGGACAAGCTCAACTGCGCCGTCCTCATCAAAGGCAAGGCGGACGTGCGTCCAGAGGTGCGACAAGAAGTGCGGCCTGAAGTAAACCCTGAAGTGCAACCAGAAAGGAACCCAGAAGGGAACCCTGAAGTGCAACCAGAAAGGAACCCAGAAGGGAACCCTGAAGTGCAACCAGAAAG